CTGTTACCTACCAGTTTCACTTGAAGTTGCTGTTTTATGCAAAAATCATTCCATGGGCATCAGGCTCAGTTTTGATTTTACAGACCTTTGTGGTAGTCAGTGTTCTCCTCTCTCTTCTATAGCAATCTTGATTTTTACTATTATATTTATTATTATTTTTATAAGTTTTCTTGCTCTCTCACTGTAAACAAGATGTTGTATCTGCGCCAGCCTGATGGCCCTGGAGCAGCAAATGGAAGCTCCCTGTTGCCCACACTAGAGGTGGTTAAATTCTGTGCTGCCTAATGTGACCATTTTAGAGTGTACCAAGAAGCAAAGATGCATTTTACTGGGAGTACCTTGTTCAACACCCTAATTTATTCTTTCCTGACATTAATGAACTGTTCAGACATAATCCCACTCTTCACATCTTTTCAGCCTGCTTAAAAAAAAATAAAAATAAAAAAATCAGCACTGTTTAAAGATCTCAGAAGCACATCTCATTAATAGCTGAAATGCCTGATCGCATTCTTGTAGTTCATACTTTAAACACATCCCTAGGGGTCTGACACAGTTTGACCTTCTTAATCATTGCTTTTCCTTACAGCATTGATGCTTTAATTTCATAGACATCCATATAGACTAGCTACAGACTCAGAAACGCAGCATGTCACCTCTGAGGTCAGCTACAATAAGGCTGTTCTAGTGTTAAAGCCATACTCCTAGTTCATTTCTGCCAGTAGTCTGGGTTTCCTCCTCTTGCTGTAGTAATAGCACACTGTGTAGCATTTCCAGGAACTACTTCACTTTGTCCTGACTTTCTGTGTTTGCTTCAGCTTCGTCTGAAGCTCATTAACAGTGTAATCCATCCAGTTTGCATTTGAGGACAGGAACACATAGCAATGAATGATTTAAAACTTGTTTCCTGTGTCCATGTACAGTGACTTCTGTCAAAAGCAATGCATGGGTTTGTTTTCTGAAATTTCTCTCCTTTTCTTAAGTATATGCTTTTAGCATGGATTTTGTTTTAGGTTTTGGTAAACCCTTGAGCATTTGGCATCTGTATCTTCTTACTTAATAGACACTAGCACTGCAATATTTTTTAAAGCCTTTATGTTTCAGCTTCTTCTAAACTTAGTTTTGTTCCAGTTCCTGCCAACCTTACTCACATAAAGCTTCAATCTGAAATAAGCAGGACATTTAGGTAAAGATAAGTGAATGAAAAAAATCATCAACAAATTTGATTTCTAGGTACCTGTTGAATCAGCCACACAGTTCTAAACCAAAGTCAGCTACAAGGCATCTGGATTACACTTGGGAGAGATGGATTCAGAAGAATCCAACCTGGTCCTGAACATTTTAATCCAGAAGGTCCAGTATGACAATAAACCATATGTGTACTAGTTACAGGAGAGGATACCCAAATTATCAGAATGTAAATCTTCAACATGTAACATTGCTTCAAACTCAGCTTCAAGTCTGGTGATAAGGTCACCAGCTCTTCTTTGCATAATATCAGATTCTGATGGCTAAAATAATTTTAAAATCCACAAATTCCATAGAAAAGGCTATTGTTAAAAGGGCAATTAAAAGAAGCATGACACGCTTGCTGGTTCTCTGTGCCCCTGGTGGGGTCTGCTATGAGCTAAACATATCTTGTAAGGTACGTCTCCATGTTTTCAGGTTCAATGCTAAATTAAAGGGGCCTAAAAATATATTGGATAATTGGACTGAAGCCAGAGAACATGCCCCAGTTAATACAAACACAGCTGCTCAGAAGGATGGGTCTCTTTCTCATGCTCCATACTTTCCCTTGGCTCAACTTCAAAATATCAAGTAAAGCGTTAAGCCCCTGTCCCGCCATTTTAAGCTTTCATGAGCTAGAAAGCAAACAACATAGAAAAATCACCTCCTTTGCAAGACAACAGCTCACTTTGCTGCATGATGAGTGACTACTAAGTAAAGATAGCAAAGTTTTCATACAAACATTTGAATGACAGAAGTCACTCATTTGAGAGAAGTTGTCATGAAACTATACTCTTTCCAGTACAAAACTTGTTCCTTCAGCTTGGATTTTTCAGCCTGCTGTGACAGTAGAAGAACCATATAAATTCACATCTTCAACTTGCTAAGAATTAACGTTCTTGTTAAGTGCCTTAAAGATATACTCAGATTCCACTGAGACACTCAAAAATACTTCCATATAACCCCATAAACATCCTAGGACCCAGATGCATGTACTTTTCAGAAAACAGAATGCATACCAAAGAGCTTTGGATCAAAAAAATCTTTCAGGGATTTTATGCCAAATTCATCCCAAAAAGCCCAACTGAAGAAAAAAAAAAAGACTGTCTGATCCAGCCTTCATATTCTAGTGGTTGATAAGTTGTCTTCTCTTAAGGGAGAATAAAAATCTGGTGAAACTAATGGTGACTCTGATTGAAGTGACTATCATAAGGAACAATTTTTACATGATTTACCATGGAAAGGCATGCCAGAAAGCTTGCTAAACTTTCAGACAAAGACAGATGCAAAGACAGTACAGCAGATGCATGTTTCTTGCTTTCAGCATCCTTTCATAAAAGCTACATGACACCAGCACTATCACCTTCCAGGGTCAGTAAGGCTGTCTCCACCACTTTGACAACACGAAGAAACTTTTTTCATAGAATCAAAGTATCATAGAGTAGTTTGGGTTGGAAGGGACATACAAAGGTCATCTAGTTCAACCCCTCTGCAATAAGCATGGTCATCTTCAACTAGAACAGGTTGCTTAGAGCCCCATCCAATCTGACCTTGAATATTTGCAGGTAAGGGGCATATACAACCTCTTTGGGCAACTTGTTCCAGTGTTTCACCACCCTCTTCCTAAAAAAATTCTTCCTTATATTCCTCAAAGTCTACCTTTTAGTTTAAAACCATTACCCTTACAAATAAGGTCTCTCTCCAGCTTTCTTGTAACCCCCTTTACATATTGAAAGAAAAACAAAATGTATCTCACCTGAGCCTTCTCTTCTGCAGACTGAACAAGCACAACTCTCTCAGCCTGTCTCCGCAGCAGAATTGTTCCAGCCCTCTGGTCATTTTTGTGACCCTCCTCTGGACTAGCTTCAACAGGTCCATGTCTTTCCTGTGCTGAGGACTCCACAGGTGGACGCACTACTGCAGGTAGGGTCTCACCAGAACAGAGGGGCAGCATCACCTCCCTCAACCTGCTGGCCATGCTCCTTTGGGTGCAGCCCAGCATACAGCTGGCTTTCTGGGCTGCAAGTGCACATTGCCGGCTCACGTCCACCTTTTCATCCACCGGCACCCCCAAGTCGTTCTCCACAGGGCAGAGACCAATCCTCCCTCTCAATCCCTTTTTCCCCTGCCTGTATTGATACCAGGGTCTGCCCTGACCCAAAAGACCAGCACTTGGCCTTGTTGAAACTAATGAGGTTAACACGGGGCGACTTCTCAAGCTTGTCCAGGTCCCTCTGATGGCATCCGTTCCTTCAGATGTGCCAACCACACCACTTAGCTTGGTGTTGTCTGCAAATTTGCTGAGAATGCCCTCTGTCCCATTACGTCATTGACTAAGATATTAAACAGCACTGGTCGCAGTACACAACACGGACCCCTGAGGGACACCACTCATCACTGATCTCCATCCGACAACCAGTTCTGTTCCTCCTTCACAGAAGTTGTTGGAATACACATGCACTAGTTGACCCAATTTGGTTGCAGCAGTTTTTATTTGGTATGGCATTTGATCATCATATTCTACTTGCTGATTGTAGATAAAACCCACTTGCACATCAGTGTATAATTGGCTGTTCTTGCCTGAGAATATTAATGCATTTCTCTGTCAGTGTGCATATCGCTATCTGTTCCTTGCTGGACATTTTAGCACATTTCACAAAAGGCATTTGACTGCTTAACAGGGCAGTTTCACTGGAACAAATGCAAATTACTATTTACAACAGATTTTTGATTCTCATTTCAGTGTCAAATGCTTCTTCTCTGTTTCTACTCTTTGTAAGACTTCACTTAGACCTTAGAAATGAGGTTTCACCTTATAAATTAAGAGTATGCATTCCAAGTCAAGCTAACATTCACTATGTAGACTGTTCAAAGATGTTAAGATTTCAGCATGGCCCTTATATTGAGCAAGTTTAGAATCAAGCTGGAAATTAAGGCATTGTCTGTATGATATCCTCCTGTCTCCACTTACTTCAAATAAAATGAAATTGAGACAATAAAGAAGAGCAAAGCAAATGCATTTATCATCTAAAGCAACTTCCGTTCTGTTCATGAATCACTTCTTAAGGTATTTCTTTTTACAGAAATTTGGCATACTTAATGGAAATGAAGACCCAGAACAGCAACTGGATTAATTACGAATAGGCCCTTCCAGCCTGAGATCTGAGCTGATAAGACAACTCCTTCAACCCTTAGTTTATATTAGCACAAGAGCACTACTTTCAATTTTACCATGCTGATGACAAAAATCAGATAGAGTCAAACAGTTCACATACGCAGTTCTGCTGAATCTGACATGCTTTACCGAATAGAACAATTACAAGGAATTCTTACCAATCTCACATAGAGAAGTTTAGCTGAGGTACAGAAGTATCAGCATGAAAGCTAGGAAGTAACTTTATTTAAGGCATTCTGGACAGACTGTATTAAAAGTCTCCTACAGAATTCAGGATAAACACTGAGCAACTAAGTATCTTTTTTGTGTTATGAAAAAACAGGTTTTAGAACACTTGTATGTAACTATTCACTATGTTCTTTTGAGCACCCATACTTCAGAAGCCTGTGAGATCTTTGAACATGAAGGTTTGTTTTCATGGTTCTTGTAAGAGGATTTCTTTCAGCATAACTTACATTCTGTCTCACAACAGTACAGCTTTAATGTGATGTGTATTTCTCTTAAGGTGTTCAGTCAAGAAAATTTTTTTAATGTTGTCTTTAAGTCCAAAATTAATATAAACCCATGTATCTTCCTTTAAATTGTAAATTTAGAATTAGTCTAAGCATATTTTCACATTTATCTGGGCTAAGAGTAGCAAGTTATAAGCCAGTGTTTCACAGTTGTGCCACATAGTTCCATACCACAGTCCAATTCTGTATGGTTCTTGAGATATGGTATACACAATTAGAGCTTTAAAAAAAACATCCAAAAGAGTTTGAGAAACTGTGAACAAACAACTTCTGTTGATTTTGCTGAATAACTAGTTGATCATCATCACTAGTTAGTTGGCAGCTTCAAGCTTATCCATACATCCATAATACAAAGATACAAAAAAACTGAGACACCTCACAAGCAACTATTCCAAGCATTTATAACTACACCAAGTTTCAGTGTAAAATGTCAGGAATATGATTGCTATTTTGTTCAAAGAATTGGGGTGGTTTTTGGTTGGTTGGTTTGTGTTTTTTTGGTTCTTTTATTTTCTGTTGAAAAAAAATATATTTTAGCTTTCAAGGTACAGCACTTTTGCTATGAAGTTGGATTCCAAGCTGAGGAGATTCAATGGTTTTGGTCACTATCATCATGGAAATGTGACTAGACAGGCACACAGATTTCTTGGGTACTTTCTGTTTCTTCCTCTAAGCACAGCACTGGTGACAGCTTTTCTAAATTTAGATATGTACCTGGAACTAGAACTTTGTCTTTTCAAATCAGATCTGCCTTTACATTCTCTTTGGCATATCTGCACAAAGATTAAACTACCTTCTCCTGCTGAAGTACACTCTTCAAAGCAGTATTCTCTGAAGAAAAATACTCTAATTCTCTAAAAATAGTTTAATTTATTCTAAAAATTGGCACATCTATGAAAGATTCCTCTGAAAAGATTCTATTCTTATGAAATGTAATATCTCAGCTCTCAGTTCCGAAGTGTATGCCACCGAAGACTGCTCCACATCGTGAGAAAAAAAGATGCAATGAGCAAGAAGCGGCAGATTTCATCAAATAAATAGTTTCAGTGCCTCTGATATTACAGAACCATAGAATCAGATAGGTTTGAAAGTACCTTTAAGATCGAGTCCAGCCATTAACCTGACACTGCCAAGTCCACCACTAGACACTGTCCCTAAATACCACATCTACATGTCTTCTAAGTACCTCCAGGAATGGTGACTCCACCACTTCTGTGGGCAGCCTGTTCTGATGCTTGGCAATCCTTTTTTTTCCCCGCTGGCTCATCTTTCAGCACATGAGGATGGCCCTATGTGGCCATTCTGAGGCACTTCTGTGATATCCAAAACATCAATAACTCGTGTGTCTTTGCTGTCGCATGTATCTCCATCCCCTACCTCCACTGAGACAGCAGACTGAAGGGCCTCACTAGCACATTGTCCCTCTAGCATTGACATGCTGACTGCAGGCTTATCTCTAGTGAGCCTGATTTTATCCCTCTTCCCTTTCAAATCTTATTTAAAGCTCTTTCAATAAGCCCTGCAATCTCCTGCGCAAAGCTCCTTTCCCTCCTTTGAGACAGGGATACTCCATCAGACACCAGCAGGCCCAGTGTCATGTAAACCGACCCATGGTCAAAAACCCCAGAATTCTGCAAGTGGCACCAGGCTTCTTCCCCAGTAGCACCAGAGGTAGTTGCTACAAACTAGTGCTGGTATTTATTAATATCAGGCATAACAAGGCTGAACTCATGAGAAACAAGGTAAATGTACTGTTCAATACTACTTTTTTTAAAGGAAGTTTGGCTTTGAAAAGTAAAAATATTCATATGATTGGATAAAAGCACAGGTGGAGATGTCTAGTCCCAGTCAAACTGAAAGACTACAATACGTATATCCCCTACGTAACATGAAAAACAGCTATATCAAATGTTTGCAAATAAAGCGTCAAAGTAAGACAAAAGTAACAACAAAAGCACTTAAATGTTTCTACTTGGTTAACTGTAAAGATTTTTAAAAGTGCCAGATAATTCACTCTTTTTTAAATAGAAAAATATGAAAATTACTTAAGTAAATATAGAAATCTAGACCAGTGCAATGTGAATTACAACAGTAATTCAGTTATTTTCCTAAAGGCATTAGTTCAGTATATTTTCATGGTTTTACAGCACAATGTGATTAAACCTTACTCAGATGATGTCCTTATTTGATACGTGCCATCATGAACACCTGGCAGTGCAAATCCATGCTATCCAAATGAAACATAAGAAGGTGAAGGGTGAGAGTGGACGGAAGAGGTGAAACAAGAGATAGATCAGAAAAGTTAACAAGGCTGATTGTTGCATTTTGAAACTATCTTTTTAGCATGTAAGCATTTAAAGTTATCATAAATACAAAACGTAGTAAACTTATAATCACTATGAATATTTGTTGGTTTTAACTTACAAATCCAACAGTGCATTTAGACATCTGAACAGTAGCTTACAAAACACATTCCAAAGGCAAACAACAACACAGCAGGATACAGCCCTATCCTTTCCTCACATGCATTTCTTTAAACAAATTTCTCAGCCAGCCTAATCTGAAATACAAACATCTTCAAAGGTTATGACCATCAAGGATTTTAAGCCACTTATTCTGTTTTCTTTGCCTGCCTTTTCTTAACACCATTATGGTGCTGCTCAGAAGATCGGTCACAGACTGAGGAGCCATTGGAAGATGCAGCACCTTCACCCTTCATTTTGGATGGTGTCTTTTGCAAGCCGAAGAACATATGACCTAATGCAGCCTCAAGGGGAGCAAATGGAGAAGCTGCAGATCTTGTCAGCATCATTGTTACCTATGAAGAACAGGGAGCAAGTTACAAGTTTTAATGACTCCATATCGACTGAAAACGAGTTCAAAGCTGAATAAATGTATGGCCTAACTTTCTACACAAGCATGAGGCCATACCACCAAGAACAGAAGCACATTCACTTTAGCTTGAATTGATCAAAGAATGCCTTTCTTTCTGACCTATTTTTTTCAGAAAGCTATATACAAACAATGCACACACAAAATTTTCTGTCAGTTTACTGAAATCATCCTAAATCACACTTAATGTCATACAACTAAAGTGAAGAACAACTTTTATGTGTAAGTTTGTTCTTTGTTTGAACTGAAAAACTGTAAACAGAGTGGCTATTTCAATTTGAATTGAAAGAATGTAATGTGTAAGCACCTAAGTATATACACACAGCCAGACTTTAGTTAAAATTCCAGACAGCCATTCTCATTCCATAAAGTTGAGAGATTTAGGTGGAAATGCCTTACAATACGTAACTTAGAAACAGGATAGAATAATCTGTTTTGTAGATCCAGGTACTAGACAAGTTTATATGGCAACCACTTCTACAGTTTTCAAAGACAGGAAAAGTTGATACTACTACAGTACTACGCATGGTCTGCAACTGTTGCTTTATTACTGAAGTGGATGCTCAAGTTCCTGTTTGTCAGTATGACCACCAGTTTAAAAACTTAATTCCTTCAGTGCAGCCTGACAGCCAGCTTCTGAAGACAGCTGTAATTTCTCACTTCCTTTCCTTCTCTACTCCTTTCCTTCTCTGTTCCCAGTGTCTCCTTTATTGGGGTAAGTGGAGACTCAGAAGCATCAGCTTGAAGCCTTGGCTCCCTGAACCCTAACTTCTTTAGAATTAAACTTGTCAGCTACTTCACAGAAAGGAGACTAACAACCACCATTTTAAGACAGTCTCCAGTTTCTTCAGTGCCAACTCTGAAGCTCTTAAAATTATCCATATCTCTACTAACACAGAGACTACACTTTCTTATTAATTAATAATTCTGAAGACAGGCATCATCCTGGAAATGAAAAACTGGAGGGATTGAAGGATTCAACAGAGAACTAGTATCTATTCTATTGTAAAAGTAGTTATAGCTACTTCAAAGTTGTTTTGATACACTTTCTCTTCCCACCTAAACACTTAGTTGCAAACACTTTAAACTAGATGAGAACCTGGTTGGCTTATTTTGCAAAAGCACAGACAACTGCACAGATTCAAGGAAGGCATTAAGCAGCTAGCAAAATGCAGAGAACAAGTAAGTATCTTACTACAAGCATAAGCTTTGTTTGAGATTTATGGACATACAAGCCTGACATACCAACTGCTGGGTTCCAAATTCCTGATTTTTTATTTTCTTTCCCTTCCTGCTCTCTCACCCTGCCAACAGTATCAGTAACAGATCTTCTGTTCTGCTCACATATAGAAGACTAAACACACATTTCACACTTCAGTAGAAGCTAGCCTTCCCACCCAGAACCATGCATTCTAACTTGCAGTAGGATGTTTGAGGGCATGTTTTTTGTATAAGATAATGAAATAAAATATTTTCTGTTCTTCAGTTATTTGCAACATTTTCACATTCTTACCTTGGAAACAACAAGAAAGATGGTGTATAAAAACATGAGGTTGTGCCTTGCTATTGGCAAGTACTGGCTGTGTTGCAAGGTGAAAAGAACTGCTCCTATCAAAGTTACCTTCACAGGGCTGGAAGTAAAAAAATATAAGTTAATTTCTCTTCTCTACAGTGAAAAGAATAATGCTCTTAGTGTGCAAAATAATTATTTCTAAATAGAACTAATGAAAACTTTGGTAACAGTTGCTAGGTTTTAAAACCCAGCTATGATTAAACTAAGACTCACTTTATACATACTACTGCTAAGCTTTTCTGTCCATAATATGGACAAGCATCAAATTCAGCACTACTTTACACACCCAGCAAAAACACATTTGAGAAATCCTGCTCAAATCAGTGCCTCTGTTCAGATTCATACATCAGTTTGCTCCCTTTCTTCCTCTCCCAACATATCTTACTGAAGAGTTAAATCACAAAGCTTGCAGTGCTCAAGCTAGGCTTAAAAATAGGTTCCTCTCCTGTTCAGCCCTATTCCAAGAGGTTGCTTAAAATAACTGGACATGCTGGCAGTTACAGGGTTGTAGTCAGCTTATGCTGGGCCTGAGCCCGGCCTATGTTACCAGGTTTTGCCAGCATAGTTGTGTTGACATGAGCATGCAAAGATTTACATATTCTAGCTATCTCACTATGGTGGTAAATCCCTTGAGAGGTATACAGTCAGAAAACAAGAGAACTTTCATCAATTATCTGAAGTCATCTGAAGAGAGAGCATTAATATACTGGAAGAAAAATTCTCTGCTTTCTTGATCTGAATCTACATGTGACAGGTACAGGTGACATTCCTGTTATCACAGAACATCTCAGTGTAGTCACATTCTTCACTGTCTTTTCAGTAACTCCCAGATTTACTGCATCAACTTCCTCCTCAGAAAGTCAAAAAAAACCCAACTCTGTATACAAGCATCTCATCCATCTGCAGAACATTTAATCCATTCAACTTTGTAACTTCTGTTTAATATTCTTAAGCTTCACATATTAAATGAAATTGTTTATTTCTAAAAATCCTTTTTGAGTTACTCTGAACCACATCCACCATAAAAAAGGACAATATATACAAACAGTGCCACAGTCAGTAAGCATTGCTCTAGTGTTGCACTTGTATTATTTGGGTTTGCAGTGCCATTATTGACAGTGTCTTCTTCCTTTTGGAAGTTTGCTTTCAAGACTGCTACTTAGGCACTGACAAGGGGAGAGAAATTACAAATACCTGGAATTTCAGAAAAAGCCAACAACCAACAAAAGCCATAAAAACTTGAAATATTGCCAAAGGAAATGTTATAAGTATCTCTTCAGTTATTCTGTTGCTAAGATTGGCTGCAGAAAAGCAAGATAACTTTAAAAAATAACTAATTTCTAAATTGCTGAGAGTAACATAGGAAACATCAAATGAATTTCAGGAAATTACCACAGTGAGCTTATCTTGACTTACAATAATAGCTTGCAGCTTTCTAGCCTGCCTCAATTCTCATTTTACTGTACTAACTAAACTGGGAGAAATGTAATACTCCCATTCTTTGCTTCTGCAAGAGAACTAAGATTTTCTATTTTGCAGTATATTTTTGCTATATTGACCAACCAGTGTGCAACTTCTCAAATAACTGATATCTATGGAGGAAACAGTGCTGGCAAAGAAAGTAAAAGTGACGTTGCTTAAAGGAAGCCATCTTAGTGATGCTCAGAACATGCACCAAAAGTGCAGACTTCATTTGGATACTTCTGGTACTGCTGTCCTTTTATTCTGGATAGAAGACCATGTCCCTGTAAAACAAATTAAGCCAAAACTGCTTTCCAGTCAGTCCTACTGACTCAATACTGCTTTTTGATAAGTAATTTTTGTTGACTTGTTTTCCCATTTGGTGTTCTTGTGTTGTGAGCCTAAAATTATTAAAACATCTAATAAAATTAACTATGATCACTCATGAATCTCTCACAAAATACACACCAAAGGATTGAGTAGAAATATATCTTTTAATCTGAACCACTAAAAGTGAGTGCCAGCACAAGGAGTTAGCAAAACAAGAGTTAAGGTGTTGCACACTTTTAAAAAACTTACTAGGACATCTTCAGTAGTTCATTGGTTTCAGGCTTCCATACTCCTCTCACTAGCTGCTCAAAGTTGGAAATTAGGCCACCACCAGCTCCTGAAACAACAGAGATTTACAATAAGCCTCCTCTGACTGCTACCACTACTGCACGACCTATTATTGCACCCAGCAAAACTCATTACACCAGGTGCCAAATGTGGCAGCCAAAGCTCAGACTTAAAGTGACTAATCCAATCTTTTACGCATGCGTGACCTGAGCAACTGACATGAAATCTCAGAGGTTTAGCTACTTAGTGAGAACCTCAGGTTTACCTTTATGTGATAGCGTCTGAACTGATGCACTCATCACTAGAAGCAAATGCCTGAATTGCCAAAGTAAACCTCCAGAGAGGCTTATATAATTCCATTCTTCACATAATCATGTAAGCAGGGACTGTCTCTATAAGCTATAAAAAACCTATGTGAGAAAACTGCATATGTATTTGTACATCAGAAGAATACAAGACAGGAGGATGTGTTGAACACTTTAGCCAATGAGACTGATCTGTATTACAACCTGGGAAAAGAAAATGGTAACACGTTGTTTCCCAAAACAAGAACAGAATCAAGAAAATAAAACCCAAGATCTGCACTACTACTTCCTGAAGTGGTTCTAATGTGACAACAAATACAGCTGCTAGGAAGGTAGCTTTCAGATTAGTATTTCAAACAGCCGGCAGGCAAGAACTACGGCAGGATCATGGAGCAGATTCTCCTGGAAATCATGCTAAGGCATATGAAAAACAAATAGGTGGGTGGTGATACCCAACATGGTTTCACTAAGGGCAAAACATGTCTGACTGATTTGGTGGCCTTCTATGATGGGGCTACAGAATGGATGGGTAGGGTCAGAGCAGTTGATGTTGTCTACCTGAACTTGTGCAAGGTATGTGACACTGTTCCAAATGACATCCTTGTCTCTAAACTGGAGGGACATAAATTTGATGGTCAGAACCCTTGTTGAGCTGTTGACCATATGCAGAGAGCTGCGGTCAATAGCTCAATGCCCAGTTGGAGACGGGTAACAAGTGGTGTTTCTCAGGGTTCAGCTTTGGAATCGATCATGTTCAACATCTCTGTTGGCGACACAGACAGTGGGATTGAGTGCTCCCTCGGTAAGTTCCTAGTAACACTATGATATGTGGTTCGGTTGATATGCTGGAGGGAAGGGATGTCATCCATAGGCATCTGGATGACTCTTGACATGCTTGAGAGGTGGGACCATGCCAACCTCATGAAGTTTAACCAAGCCGAATACAAGGTCCTACACCTGGGTTGTGGCAATCCTAGGCACAGCTATATGTTGGGTAGAGAAGGACTTGGTAGTGTTGGTCAGTGAGAAACTTAACATGAGCCAGCTTCAGTGTGCACTCACAGCCCAGAAACCAACCGTATCCTGGGCTGCATCAAAAGGAGTGTGACGAGCAGGTCAAAGGAGGTGATCCTGCCCCTCTGCTCTCATGAGACCTCACTTGGGAGTATTGTGTGCAGTTCTGGTGTCCTCAACATAAAAAGGACATGAAGCTGTTGGAACAACTCCAGAGGAGGGACAAGAGGATGATCAGGGGACTGAAGCACCTCCTGTATGAAGACAGGCTGAGGAAGTTGGGGTGGTTCAGCCTGAAGAAGAGAAGCTGCGTGGAGACCTCATAGCAGCCTTTCACTGTCTGAAAGGGACTTACGAGGATGCAGGAGAGGGGCTCTTCATCAGGGGCTGTAGTAATAAGTCAAGGGGTAACGGTTTCAAATTTAAGCAGAACTTCAGATTAAATATAATAATGAAGTTCTTTACCATGAGGGTGGTGAAGCACTGGAACAGGTTGCACAAAGGATTGGTAAATGCCCCACCCCTGGTGGTGTTCAAGCCCACACTGAACAGAGCCTTGGGTGACATGGTTTAGTGAGGTGTCCCTGCCTATGGCAGGGGGGTTGGAACTAGATGATCTTGAGGTCCTTTCCAACCCTAACAATTCCATGATTCTGTAATTCTAAGAAGGTTAACTCCTATGTTTAAAATCAACTAATATTACAACTCAGAAAGCTAATGTAACAAGTTCTCTCCTTCAGCCACATGAAAGAAAAACATGCAAGCTCTGAGGAAATATGCTGTTGGAAAATTTAGTAATAGCTTTTAAGCTACATGGGCTATCTCTTCATTACCATCAATAGCCCATCCGACAAGTTCTCAGAAGACCTTCTGGAGGGATAAGATGAAGCTCCCCAGGTCATTCAATGTCACTCTTAATTCCAGGCAGAAAAACTGCTCTACAGGCTTTTCCCTTGAGGGAATAACAGACTGTATAAGGACTATCGTATCCAGCACAGCAAGGAATGATGTTACAATTATGCTGAAGGGCTAGCCATTTAAATGCCACTCCAAAACATCACAGTCCATCAAAACAAAATGTTACATATGTTACCTCTGGCCCAGCCCACAGCTACCATGACAAGCCAGGCATCTTTGAAGTGACTGTCTGCATGCGCAACGCCACCTGTTATCTTCCAAGTCCTAGTCACTTCTTTCATTCCTGCAACCAGAAGCCGAAGAGGCAGAAAGGCAAAGCACCGACAGAACAAGTCTTGTGGGCAGTAAAACACAAAATACCTGCAAATCATGAGAAAACCCATTAGTGGCATTCAAATGCTTTTGATAAGGATTTCCCTAATAACCCTTAAAGATATTTTTTGGAATATGACTAGCAATGCATGGTATACTACTGATAACTTACTTTCTTGTGTGGCAGACAAAACAAATTTGAAATGCTTTTGAGCATGTTCGAACTCTTGCATCAAAATCATCATAACATTACTTGAAATTGTTCTTACTGATCTATTGTCCCAGAGGAAAATCCATTAAAGTACACAAGAAACAGCTTTAAATTTTACATAGTTTTATAGCTTACATATAGCATTTGTTATAACTCAAATTATTAAATTAGTGCTTGACTAACTTTGTGTGGTTTGGGTTTTTGTAGCTTAATTTTTGTTTGGTTGAGGTTTCTTGTTTGTTTGGTTTGGGGTTTATTTTTAATAGGATTACAACAGGGTGGTAAATTACATGCTGACACCCTGCTTTCAAACTGATACATACAAGGAATTATATAATTTCAGCAAGAATGCCTCCGCTAGTTAATGTCATGCTAGATGAAATGTACATCTATTTTCAAACACATTTCACATCTTAGTAACCAACAATTCTAGCTTTTCCAGCTTGCCAATTACAAGTGTATTTCTTTTTTCAAAGCACTGGCATCACAGTACACAAAATGTAATAATATCTTTTATCAACTTGCTTTAAAAACAAAGTAAAAATAGCTAACAATAAGATAACAGCAAATTTTAGAAGATTAGATTATGTGGTGTTTTATTTTATCTCTTCAATTATAAACAAAAGGCAGTTCTTACAGAAAAATTCAAGGTCTCAAAAAATATTCAAGATTCACTATCCAAATCATTTCAGCACACAAATAAAGAGAGTAAAAATTATTAAAAGCAGAGAAGTGCTTTAAAAGATGGGAAGGGTACTTTTCATTTCCTTAAAAAAGAAAAAAAAAAGGAAAAAAAAAAAAAAAAAAAAAAAAACCAACAGAAAACCAAAACCCAAAACTGCAAAAACATACTTGCCTTACAGCTTAGGCTTCTGAGCTCAATCCTGTCCACCAAGAATTTCTAAGGCTGTATCCTTCTCTTGTTTACTCAGGCTGCAATCAAAGATGTTCTTCTCATATCTAGTTTACTTCATTAGCACTACTAGCCAACACCACATCTAAGAGGAGTTACACCTCATGGTTACAGATTAGAAACCAGGACAGCACACAGGGTTTGGGGGTTTGTTTTGTTTTTTGGGGTTTTAATTTTCAGGAAAAAAAAAAAAAAAAAAGCAGCTTATCCTTTATAGCAGAACGCCAAGATGCTTCCTCCCCAGACAGGCAAAGTTTAGCTGAAGCCCTATACTAGTCATGTATTTTCTTCTTTTGCAGTGGATACAGTACCTTGCTGCTGCAAACATCCAAAGCACTTTCAAGACCTCCCAGACTGGAGCATGCAAAAGCCTATTTCTCACATACAAGAAACTTACTGGAATTTACATAATACTACTACTGCTCTGGTGTTAAGTTTTAGCTTTAATTTTGAACTACTTATATCTTTCCTTTTTCTTTTTGTAAAGCCAACTGCCTTTGTAGACAGCTAAGCTTCAGTTGGTATAAAGTCAAAGGTTGTAAGGAAGTTCTTCACCGTGAGGGTGGTGAGGCACTGGAACAGGCTGCCCAGAGAACTGGTAAATGCTCCACCCCTGGCAGTGTTCAAGGCCATGCTGGACAGAGCCTTGGGCACCATGGTCTAGGGTAAGGCATCCCTGCCTATGGCAAGCGGGTTGGAACTAGATGATCTTAAGGTCCTTTCCAACTCAAACCATTCTATGATTCTACGATTCTGTGTCTCAAGGGCACATATTTTAATGGCCACTGCAAATAACCACGTAAGCCAGTACTCAACACATAGCACTACTCAGAATTAATTGCAGGATGTCGGTTTAGGACCATGATGCACAGGGTAACGACTGAACCTAGCACAGCAGTTGGACCACGGCATTTTTTCCTGTAACTTCTGCTAGCAACATTTGCTAACAGCAGATGTCGCTGTCCTACAGACTATTTAGGAGCATTTATCAAGCATGGCACAACCCCTTTCATTTTCCTGCTAATTTAATTTCACGTGATCTGGGACAGAGAATGAAAGTCATTATACTCATGAAGAGAGAACTTCGTAAAACTAGAAGCTTAAAAGGTTTCATAACATGCATAAGTCCTCATTCATAGCAGTGCACAACATAATCCATGAGGATTATTTTTGCACAGCAGATCCCATTTGGCAAAGTTAAGTTCAACAGAACCCATATTCTGTTTACGTGTACCCCTAACTCGTGTCATTTCTTAAAATAAACAGCAGCATTGCCCACATCAGACTAATATGAATCATAAGCAGATTTTGTAAGCTTTATTAATACCATACCGTATACTGCACATGATTCATTCCGCCTATTTGCCTAAATGAAATCTGTCGGCTTCCATTGCAACATGAAGACCAGAAGACTAGAAATAGAAAGACCTACCTTCATTTTAAATAAATTTGCAATTATAAAACCTAAGCAGCTACAAAGAACAGATATTAAAGGATTTCAAGCAGGTAACACTCTTTGAAGATAGGAATTGAGATTTTTAAATTCAAAAAGCCACTGCTGCTCACCAATTTTGTTAAATTTGAGGGTTTCTTCAAAGACCACTTTCCGTAACAAATGAACTCCACTGAAAGGCAACGTTTATATAAATCTCCAATGCTTTTTAAAAATTCGAAAACAGGCCAAATTGCTGCCTTGTTCACATACATGACTTCCCATTCAGATCCCTAGCATCTTCCACTACAAGGCCCATCCATTTGGGAAAAAGCAAAATATAGAGTAGAGAGAAAAAAAAAAAAAGACGAAAAAGATGTCAGGAAGCAGAGCAAGCAGAAACTAGAGAAAAGGAAAGAAGACCTGTGTCTTAGACCCCAGGTTACAGAAAAGTTCAAAAATTTTACATCAGCCAGGTTCCGGTCTTCAAGAGCTACTGCTGAAAAACTAGACTAGGTTTATGACTTACCTATATCCACAAAAGTCCACGTTATTCCAACGTTATTCAGCTGTTGAACTACGAATACTACAAAAAGGTTAGTCTAGTGACTAGCATGTGGTTATACACAGCCTGTAAGAGTTGTTCTCGTGAGCATTTTATTCCTATAGAACAGGATCATAATAGCTATTCTGCTACACTGACTTTCTGGATGAAGAGACAGCAAGCAAATCCATAATATTCTTAAATTAATTTTCAGGTTTATGTGGAAGCTTGATGGTATATCAGTTTACAAAGTATAGTTTCATCAGAATCAATACTACTCTCTAACTCAATTGTGGCTGCTTACCAGACGGAAGATGCCAGTAGAATATTTGTGCCCTTTGCCAGAAACCCTACTGGCGGTTCTGCAAGCATCAATGAAGACAAAACTGAACCACCAAAGCAATGAAGCATAGCACTAAACCAGCAGGCAATTGGACTTTGGACTGATACTTCCACAGCTCCTGAAACAAAAGTAAAAGATACATAAATAGACATTGTACAAAAAACAATTGAGAATCACACCATGTTTTAAAATTCAGTATTTTTCAAATCATTCAGTCCAATATGGTTCCTCTAGGGAATGAAAAATCATCAAGAATTCTGTAGGTTTTCACAGGAAAAGTCTTCAGAAATACAAATTTCACAGTACACTGACTTAAGAATATGCTTAAGTGAAATTAAATAAATAAAAGTGAAAGAGTGACATTGTGTACACTGAACGTCTTTTGTGGGCTGGTTTATTAACTACCCCACTACCAAGAATAAAAGCTTTCAGAGCATGGGTAAGAAGTCTCATTGTTAATAATCTGGCACAGATTTATAGTTGCTTTCAAATTTGTATTAAAAATACACAAGTGGCTTTGCTGACTTAGATCAGATTGGTATTGATTACTTTTGGGTGGTTATTCTACAAATTCCATTTCTGCTTTTGAATCCAAGGTCGCTATTTTCCGTTTTCATCATAACATTCCACTGTGTCTGCTGACCAAAGTGGAAGCAGCATCCAAAACAATTATTAACTAGTTTCACCTGCTATCCTGAACACAGAAAAAAGATCACCCAAAGCCATAATAACACATCTTAAGTTTCCTTTGTTACTAAAAGCTTCACAGTTTAGTTTATTTTTGAAATGAATTATTTTTTTACATTACAGTTGAACTACGTCAAAAGAGTACTCTGTATTAAAAGATTATGCTGAGGGCAGTCAGAAGCCTAAACCAGTTTCAGGGGGAAACAACACTTAAAGCCAGAAATATTCTCAAGAAATTGTTTTGACTATTCTCTTCTATTTCAAAAGTCCAATTTTGCCATAATTTCCTCTTTACACATATGCAGCGCTCTGTTTGCCTGAACTAGTCTCCATAGTCCAAAGGCTGAAGTTCACAAAAGCAGAGATGAAACCTAGTGTCTGCCCCAAAATGCAGTTTGACATATGTTCCAAATTTAGAGGAGAAGCTTTTGTTTTCAGGCATTTCTGTGGGAAAAAGATCTTCTAACCAAAGATGAAAGCTCAAATGTATCAGAGAAAATACAGCACTCTCAGTACAATTCACTATACAAGAGTATTAACATGATTGTTCCAGTTTTAGTGGTGACACAATTATCATGTATTCCAGCACTATCTAAATTCATATGTAACAGCGAATTTAAAAAAAATGAGCACTCACAAGTACTACAGAATATCTGAATATAAAATAACATCTGTTTTTTTTAACTATTGTGTAATTTATTTTCCATACTACAGTACTAGGTGCTCCAAGTCGGTTATGCTTATCTTTGTTATTGCGTACTATCCCTTCTCCAAAGTAGCTATCAACTGTTTGTGTGCATAACCTTAACAGGTGAAAATTTTAAAGCATGCTAATGTTACTTAACTGCAAAAGTAAAAAAAATATAAAGCATGGAGGTTTCCTTAAAAAAAAAAAAAAAGAAAAAAAAATTGCTGACAGCCATTGCACTCAAAAAAAAACAAAAAAACAAGCAAAACTGTATCAAGGAGAGACTCACTGGTCCAAAAGAACTACAAATTCCCCCTCACACGTAATAATTCTCTTGTTCAATGCCATGGACACAAGTACTACTATAGACCTACTTTAGCTTGAAAGGACTAAATTCCCTTTGATGCAACAAGAGAACATCCAACTCCCATGTTTGTCAGTACTCTGTTGAGTAATTCCACTAAATGCTGCTGTGGCATTATAACGCAAGTGACCTTTTACTCTTTTCAATAAAAGAATATTGAGAAGAAATACCCCAAACTTTACAGGACAATGAGAAAACCTGGCTAACAACAGGAGTGACTGTAAATCACAAGTGAACACGGGCTGGAACTGGGGAGTACTGCCAATAGATCAGTTGTGCTATGCACAAGCTTTAACTCTGGACAAACAACTTTGATTCTCTCCTACATACTTTGTTAAAATATTCATGTGATTTTTCACTTCCTATACCAAAGGCCAGATTAAAAAAAAATTAATTAAAAAAATCAATGAAATATTGCAGTTATTCTAAAATTAGTTAGTTATCTGCTCTCTTTTCAAATCCATTCCCCTGCCTTTCAACATCACCGCTTTTCTACTCTTCCTTTTGCCCAGAAATAGCAGCAAGTGGTTGCAGTTCTGAGGACACAGATAGGAGTAACTATTATTATTACAGATTGCTCTCTGTGAACAAGCTCCACAACAAAGCATATAAATTTGTTCATTAAACTCTTATGTGTAAAAGAATAACAGACTTCACTGGACTTCCAAGATCTTTCTGTTGGTCAATGTTAGAATTTTCTTGGCTCAAATACCATATTTAACAATTCATACCTTCTTTCCAACAAGGAACATAACCAACTTAGAAGTCAATGAGACAAAAAATGCTGAACCCAATTTAAAGCTTATCTTAGTGTTGGTAACTAAATTATGACTGGGATGTAACCTTTCAGAAAACAAACTGAGTTTTAAGTGGGTCACATATTTCTAAACAAGTGGTCATTTATATTTGTCCTCTGATGCATCCTGTAAAACTAATGAGGCATCACAAAACCATACAAAACATGACCTGCCAAAAGGCCATTAGCCCTGCAAATGGTATACTTTAGAAAGGAAAGATAAGGTTTCAAATGCAAAGACTGTTGTTGAATATAGTTTTAAACATTGTTTCTACACAATAGTTTAAAAAACCCAAACTCTTGCCAGCAAACTATTTCTGTCAGCAGGATAAGATCTGCGTTAATCTTTTCAAAAGGTTCCAAATAGGCAATAAGGAACACATACCCATACACAGCTAAACAGAAAAACAGAAGACCATATAGAAGTTTTTTCTAGCACCCTGCTGAACTATAAATAATAACATCAATTAAGCAAAAGGATTTATAGTCAGATTCAATTTAGCAAAAGTATGCCAAAAAAAACCCAAAACCAAAGCAAAAAGTTCTCTCCAAATCATCAGATTTAATAGAAAACTTGCAAGAACAAAACCAGCACATTCCTTGCAAATATGAAACATCTTCAACCCTGAACACCTTTTGCTGTTCCTCTGTCCCAAAAAAAAAATAAAATTGCCAAAAATTGCTAGTTCTACAACTGACCAGAGTTACAAATGAGCAACTCCTAAGCAATCCCAAATGAGCTAACCAAAACTCATAGTTCAAAACACATGGAAAACACCATGTGGAAAAGCAATAAGGCAAAGTGCCGGGTCCTGCATTTGAGCCAGAACAACCCCATGAAATGCTCCAGGCTTGGGGAAGAGTGGCTGGAAAGCTGCTTGGTGGAAAAGGACCTGGGGGTGCTGATTGATGGAGCTGAACATGAGCCAGCTTGTGCCCAGGCAGCCAAGAAGGCCAATGGCATCCTGGTCTGTATCAGCAATAGTGTGGCCAGCAGCGCCAGGGCAGTGATCGTCCCGCTGTACTTGGCACTGATAAGGCCATACATCAAACCCTGTGTTCAGTTCTGGGTTCTTTACTACAAGAAAGACATTGAGGTGCTGGAGTGGGTCCAGAGAAAGGCAACAAAGCTGGTGAGGGGCCTGGAGCACAAGTCTTACGAGAAACGCCTGAGGGAACTAGGAGTGTTTAGTCCGGAGATGAGAAGGCTCAGGGGGGACCTTACCACTCTCTCTAACTACCTGAAAGGAGGTTGTACTGAGGTGGGGGTCAGTCTCTTCTCTTTAGTACCAAGCAACAGGACAAGAAGTAACGGCCTCAAGCTTCACAAGGGGACGTATAGACTGGATATCAGGAAAAAGTTCTTCACCATAAGGATGCTCAGGCATTAGAACAGGCTGCCCAGGGAAGTGGTGGAATCCCTGGAAGTGTTCAAAAAACATGTAGATGAGGCCCTCAGTGTCACAGTTTAGTGGTGGACTTGGCAGTCCTGGGATAACGGTTGGACTTGATGATCTTAAAGGTCTTTTCCCATGGCAGGGGGTGTTGGAACTAGATGATCTTAAGATCTTTTCCAACCCTAACTATTCTATGATTCTAGTTGATTCTATGATACGATTCTATATTGGTTATCACTGCTGTAGTCTGCCAGCACTCCCAAGTGAGCAGGAAAATCCAGCTTTTAGCCATTTACAACTGGCAAAGTCCCAGTTAGTGAGCACATCCATGATACAAATACCGTAATCCAATTTTAAGCGGGGTGGGTGGGGGTTGGTATTTTAATGAGACCAGTAATCTGGGATAAAATAAACATGGCTCTGACTTGAACACATGCTTCTTGTATCACCAACCAATTAAGGTTACCCAGTTACTATTGTGTGAAATATAGCTACTGTTTTAAGTTTCCAGAAAGAATACACAGTAATGCCTACAGAAAATAATCAGTGATAATAGATCCATCCCGAGTATTTTATAGTGACTGGTTTTTCAGTTACAATTTAATGTTCAGTTCGAGCTGCTTGCAAGTGAGCAGCAGACCAGTATGCAGTCACCTGAATCACAGTTATTAATGCAAAGTATTAGAGAATACTCAAGAGTTCTGAACTTTCCAGCTATTCAGTCAAGAAGATAAAAAACATTATTGGTACGGATCTGACCGGACTTCTGACAGCAATTCTACTGTCCAGAAACGCTGCCTCCATAAAGTTATCCTGACTCTAGCAAAGCAGAGACACTCCTCTCATACTGGTCTTTAAGTGTGTCCCCTCCATAGGAAAGCTTAAAGGAAATACGTGACAACGTCAAATACCCTTAGACAGGAAGTCCTTTTTTAATGGAACAGTCAAATTACACAGTGCTCCAAGTCAGAACCCAGAAACAGTATCAGCAGTAGTAACAAAATCTGGTGAACATGCTAGCATACATAAGCATTTTGTATCAGTCTTCACATCTGACAAGTGCACTTATTTAGCAGGAAATATACATTCACCTTAACAAGTATAGAAAGGGACAGAAGAACATGTTCACTAAACAAACAGCACAGAGCCTTAAAAAGAGCTCCCAAATCTGCACTATAATCCTGAAAGCCAGCTTGGTTTCCTACACATTTATCAGCCAGGATGCAGAGTTACTGTAACTGTCCAAAGCCACATCACAGGTAGCTATTCTAAATATTAAAACAAGGCTAGTCTCTACCTTTTATAACAACAACAACAAAAAAAAAAAAAAAACACCACCAACAAACAGACTTGGGGTTAGCAACCACAGTGCAAAAGATTTTCTAGAAAAGATGATGTAGAGATTGAAGTGTCCTTATGTGCATTCATACAAAATCCAAAATCCTATTACTGGGAGTGAAAAGCTTTCCTAATTTAATTTCACAATGTGAGAAGTTGCTAACACACAGCCTGCCCATTAGACTTCCCAGCTATGTTTCCTAGGAGACAGAATTGCCTTAAGAGCTTCCTGCATATCCAGGGCATGTGAATTATATAAACCTATTAGTTGAGAAGCTCTCCTCTCACCTCTCAGACGTAGCACCTCAGAACAAGTTACTGGCCTGTGATATGCATTTACCCTCTGCGAGCATAATCCTAACTTCGGGCAGGTTCAACCCTTTTATTCTTGTAACTTTTAAAACTTTCAACTGCAAAAAGGTTTCCAGCAAAACTCTTGGCCAATTTCACCAGTGCCTCTAGTCCTGAGAAGGCAAGGAAAGTTTGGCGGGAGGCTTCTTATGCGGCTTCTGCAGCCAGTCAGACATTGTTTATGGACAGATGGACAATGAACACTGCAGACAATCTTGTCTGCACTCTTAGGAACCGACAGAGAAGACCCGGGTTCTGCTGCGGGGAGCGGCACTAGCTCAGCCAAGGCTAAGCTCTGCGTGCAAAACTGAAACTCTCACACAGGGCTGTCACTCCAGAGGCCACAAAGAGCGCTGACAAACCTCTCGCTACATCAAACGAAACACAAGCCCCCTGGGATTCTGTGAGAGTACGCGCAGTAACAGCTTTAGCCACTCGCCCTCATTAAAAACAAATACAATTCAAAGGTTGTCAGTTAAAACAATGTCCAAACCTCTCCAGCATCTTCTAGGTTAAAGATGCAGGAGACACCTGCGGCTCCCGCCGAGACCCAGCGGCAAAAGCCGGTCCCACCGGTACCGCCCGGTCCCCCCAGCCCATACCTGCTCCCGGCACCCCGGCTCCCCTCAGGTACCCCCCGCAATCTTGCGCGGTGGCCACTCTTGCCCACATGCGGCTAGCATGGCAAGAGGGTCCCCAGCCTCAGGCCTGGGCCAGCCGGGGTGCACGGAGGGGAACACACGCGGGAGCACGCCGGGAGACACAGGGAAACACGGGAGGACGCCAGGGGAACACTGGGGAGCGCGGGCAGCTCCGTCCCGTCCCGTCCCGTCCCGTCCCGTCCCGCCACGCCGACCGCTCACCCCGCTGCTCTTTCAGCGCCATGACGGAGGCCACATAGTGCGCCAGGTCGAAGAATGGGAACATGGGCAGTCGCGAGAAGAGCAGCGGCACCTGCCACAGCTCCATGGCCGGGCGACAGGGAGACGGAGGACTCCGAAAAACCTACACAGCGAGGCGGCGGCGCCGGCCGCCTCAGCGGAAGCTTGGCCCCCGTCGGCCGCCGTCAGCGGCGGGGCGGGGCGGTAGGGGACGGGACGGTCATCCGCTTTCGGACCGCGGGGGGACGGTGCGGGAGGAGTATTTGCTTAGGTCTGCGAGCATTTGGGCTTACCAGCATGGGTGCTCCAAGATGTGGAGCATGTGGCCTTTTACGGCTTGATCTCATCTGTTTGTCACCTGCCTAATAATTACTGGGGTATTAATGTGTACTAGAGCCTGGTCAGACCTCAGCAGAGACCCCTTTAATACATCTTTACATAGAATCACAGAATGGTTTGGGTTGTAAAGGACTTTTTAAGATCATCTAGTTCCAGGCCCCCTGCCATGGGCAGGGATATCTCCCACTAAACCATGTTGCCCAAGGCTCTGTCCAACCTGGCCTTGAACACTGCCAGGGATGGAGCATTTACCACTTCTTTGGGCAACTCATTCCAGTGCCTCAGCAGCCGCAGTGCTTCTAACCTGAACTCCTGTTTAAGTTTCAACCCATCACCCCTTGTCCTATCACTACAGCTCCTAATGAAGAGTCCTTTTCTGGCCTCTTTGCAGGCCACCTTCAGATATTGGAAGGCTGCTGTGAGGTCTCTACTCAGCCTTTTGTCCAGGTTTCAGCCAATCTTCATATGCCAGATGTTCCAGCTCCTTTATCATCCTCATGTCCTCTGGACTTGCTCCAGCAGTCTTTCTTATGCTGAGGACATCCATTTTGCTAGTGAAGGCCATTGTTAACAGTTCTGTTTTCTACAAGTAGGTCTCTGACCAGTTTTGCATCCATCCTACAGTATTTTCAGCAAAAACAGTTTGCTCATGAGCTTCCCAAGTGGGACTTTTGTCAGGCATCTAGTAACCCTGCATTTTCTTTGGCCACCAGACTGGTGATAGAATCAGATTACATTGATGTGACACTGTTCTTGATGGACCCATGTCAAGGGTTTGTTGGTCTTCTAATTTTTTCAGCATACTTTTTTTTTTTTTTTTTTCCCTAGGAATGCAAGTTAAGCTTGACTTAGGCTGTTTTTTCTACTAGAGAAAGGCACATTTTTTTTTTTGCCTTTTCCATTCCATTTCCACAAGGTGGTGAAAAGAGCTGTTAATGGCTTCAAGATCTGCACAGTGTGTTGAAATTAATCAAGGTAAGTAGTCAAAACATGTACAACTTCTGTAAGCTCTTTCTAACTTGTGCTTTGCCTACCAAGAACTAATTTCATGGGATAACTGGAATAACTGGAGTATCATTCTTCATAAAAGGTCTATGCAGGGAAAGATAGAAAACACCTTAACTTTTCCCAGTATAGTTTTACCTTGCCATGAAGAGTAAGCCATTCTTTTAATTTATTTTCTTCTTATCAGTACCATATTCACAGAATAAGTTCTCCTTTTTCTCAATGCCTCTTCCTCCCTGTTTGTCCAGTGACTCGTTTTCTCCCTAACACTTGTGCCATATGCTTATGCCTGCTTTCTATTTTCCAGAGATTTCCATCATGCATTTTATCTACATGAAGAGGTCAAGATTTAGCCAAAGTGATCTCTTACTAGTCTTATTATTAGCATTTCTGATTCTTATTTTCTGTTGTGCTTATGCACAGACATGGAAACCGCAGTTTGTTTTCTAGAGCGGAATACTGCTTTGCCACGTTGACAGATGGTGAGACATAATAAATGAGTAAGCTGCATTTTCTGGCAGAAATCAGTTCAGCATCATTTTGTTTCCCACTGAACAGCGATATGTGTCTACGCAACTGCAACAACAGGAGAGTTACTGGCAGAGTTTTATACAATATAGTGATCCTCTTCCCGTAGGCTGTAGAAATGCCAGCTTCTAATTCTTGCAGTACTGTTTTATTCCCTCTGAGTGGCATCAGGTTCATTGTTAGAAAGCAAACATGGTTCAGACTACCTTGTGCGTGATCATAGAAGGACAGGGAGAGAAATAAAAAAGGCAATGAGGGCAACGAATCAATACTGATACAAAAGTAAATCGTAATTTGAGCCAGCAACATGTTTTGCCTGATAGCAGTGTCTGCACTGCAGCTACCGCCATGCTTACAACTCATGTAAGTACACTTAAATTCTCTAAAATGCCAGCAATGATATTGCTACCGGTGCTATCATGTAGTATATTGGCAAGAGCTATCTGAATCTTTAGTCAGTCCTCAAATACATGCTGCATCCTCTTCCGGGGGTCCTTAATGCACCTGAAGCATTGCTTTCCAAAACATAGCTAGATAGTGTGAAACTGGATTTCCACAAGCTACCTTCACAACAGTTAGGTGGGAAATGTAGGTAAACTGACACAGCTAAACTAGAAGGGAGGTCTGGTCGGTTTTCTACCTCCAGCACCAGCAGGAAATAAGAATAGCAGTTTCTCAAATTTGGTGATAACCAGGAAGAGATTCTTGAGAATTTTGTACACTTAGGATAGCATCTTAGCAGAGCGTAGGACAGAGGAACCCAGCAAAGAGAAATCAGACCAAGGAACAGGGTCTGTGTAATAGAAGTAACAAATAAGAAAACTTAAAATTGGCCATTGATTTTCCAGCTATCCTAGATATTTCAGGAATAATTTAAAGGTAACAGAGGATATAAGCACGCCTGAAATAACCCTGTTCATCCTTGGATCAAATATGCTGATGCTGAGAACTGCTGCAGTGTGAGAAATTGGTATTAATGTGTAAGCTAGGCATATTATGTGTGTGTGACACATTTTTTTGTGGTTTGCTGGTTTCAAACTGGAAGAACAGTTACCCCATTCTTCATTTCTTAGGAATAGGCTAATAAAAATAGCTGAGCACATTATGCATATAAAAAAAATTAAAGATAGACTGATTATTATTCTGCTGTCTTGCATGAGCATAAAGCTCAATATGAAAACAAAGCAGAAGCTTGAATGACTCTCTTGCCAAAGGAATGTTAGCATGACCTTAAAAAAACCCTCTGTACACACATAGTGATCAGCCATGCAACTTCCACATGCACCAGAGTATTTTTTGTCAGGATTAGTTGTTCTTTCCAAGAGGATGCTGATAAATTAATACAATTTGCTTTAGAAAACATTCCAGCTGTTCATGCAGTTGCCACATTTGTACTTCTGGAACAGCTGTGGAAGCCTAGGATGTTATATGCCTGTCAGCTATTCCTGATGGCTGCCCTGCTGCATGTCGTAACTGATCCTGGATAAATAGTGGTTCTTGGGCCATTCTGGGCAAAGCTGGAAACACCACATAACACTTGACAGTAACAAAGAAAGAAGTAATGGAGAGACTTGGTTTCAAAGTATGTGCATGTCCACATATTTAAGCTCTGCAGAGCATGACATCAATAATCCATTACTTCCTCAGTCTTACAGAACCTGTGGATAACATGAACTAGAGCTGTCATACATGGTCCATTTGTTGTGTTCATCTCATATGGCAATTATGCTAATTTAGTGTTTGAAAAGATCTGTGTAACTAGTATAGATGCATGGCTGGTGAAGTTGCTGCTAAGTGTAGAATATGTTTATTTAGTATTTTATTTCGTAATGTCTGGGATCCTACACACATTGACCTGGAGTTCAAAGATGGTGCCTTAAGGAAATAAAAGAAGGAATTCTTTAGTCATCCCTATGCCTCAAAACTCATACATCAGTATTCCACTTCCCAGATCAGGAAATCAGAAATATTCCTATTTTATGGATTATTAAATTTACTAAAATTTCTTAGGAGATCTCTCAAACTCACTTCTGTACATCAGAATCAAGATAGGTGAAATAGTAATCTTTTTAACAAATGAAAATGGACATTCCCATTGTCTGCTCTCATCCTGCCACGTTTTTGATTTGTTGTCATCTGCCACACTGCTATTTATCTTCTCCTAATCCAGTTCCCATTGTGCCTGTTACTTTTCTGCCTCATTCATATTTCCCCATTTTCCAACACCCTCTTATCCCCCTCAACCTGCTTATTTTGATCTTCTAGTAGATTTTCTTCTCTCCCCTCTCTCTCTTTAGCATCATATATTTACTAACCTTGCCTATTTCTTTCAGTGTCACTTCTCACAATTATCAGACTCCCAGTTTCCCTGACTTTCTTGCTTTCTTCACGCCAACCTTAGCTTTTAGTCATGGCTTAGTACACCTCTAAGTCTCCCATCTCTCTGAGAATCTGCCTGTTCATCCAATCTTTGCCACCTTATTCATGCATGGTTTCAGTGAACACTTATATACTCAGGCCTCACCTTTATGTCTGTATACTTTCCAACTCTGTGTTTCACTGCTGTTACTCCTTTTCCACAATCTTCCTCCAGCAGGTCACCTTCTCCTGTCTTCTTTCAGGTTTTTCTATGAACTTGTCTGCTGAAGTGCTTTGAAAACATCACTGAGAAAATAAGTAATAGGAAGGTCACACGTCCGTTTATCACCTAACACAATATTACTTCAGTTTATTTTTATAATCTAGATTGCAAAGTGGAGAAATAAAAGTGTTTCTTAAGTAGCATCAGTTAGACTTACATCTACCTCAGACCCCTCCAGCTTGGCACCAGACTATAGTCTCACAAGTATTTAGGAATCCATTTAAAATTTCGATTCTACAATCTTTAGAACAACATCATTGTTTGATTCCTAGGTGAAGCCTGGGAGTGGGGACTGGAGCAGCTTGTAGCCAGTGCTTCTGGCTTCACCTACAAGCTCCCTAGCAGATACCGTAGATTATGTCCACACAATTAGGCAAAGCATGTGCTTCAGGTTCTTGAGTTACACACTCCGTGTATTTTTGTATCTTTATTGCAGCAATTAACTCAGTCGTGATTTTGCATAGAGCTCAGGTGGATACCACCACTTAATTCAGGTGGTAGAGATATCGCATACAAAAGTTATAGTCTGCAGGGTTGTAGCTCTTCTAGAAATGCCCACTGGACTCCTGAGTGCTTAGTTCCTTTCATCTTTGCTTAGGTTTTAGTGTTGGGTTAAACCACTTCTTAGCATCTTGTTCCTGAAGAGTACACTCTTTGAACAGAACTGATTTGAACTCTTAGTTTTCT